TGTAGCTTGTGTAGTTTTCACTTCGCTGTCGAACAGGCCAAAGCAAAGGGTCAAGATGAGGACAACGTTTGCTGGAGTGTTCGGAATCTCGGAATATTTCCCATGAGGGTGTTGAGTTTGGATTTAGGGTTAGGGTGGCAACCGTATAGTATTCTGGATATCTCATGGTAATAGCTTACCCCAGTGATGACAGAACTTTGCAATAGCAAGTTTTCGTGGTTTCAAGTTGAGAGCGTCATGACCTATGCAACGACGATTGTTACGTGTACCAGGACGGAGCCAATAAATGGTGGCAGCAGTGTCTTATTTAAGAGAACTTGCAAAGGGTTGGAACGTCAAGGGTGTCGGGTCATGCCTTTTTCTTGCTTCAGGAGGTATTGTCTTAGTCGAAATGCCCTGGTGGGCCCTCCTTGGTCAGTTGAGCGCATTACCAAAGGACACATGATGGAAGGTATGAAAAAAAGGATTGTATGGAATGAGTAAACCTCATGATATTCAAAGGGGGAAGTCCACAGTTCAGGCGTGGAAAGACAGAGAACCAACCTGCGCACTTCCATTGCTGGGGCGGGATGCAATTGGCAGGGTAGGGCACCCAATGCTTAGTGCATAATCACGTATAGGGGTAAACCACAAAATAGCAGCCAGCTGCAGACCAAAGCTCGAAAGTCTTAAGCCCTTTTGAAAACCTGCTGCACTTCTTTGGTCTTTCGAGTATCCAATCTTCTACACTACCGGCAACAAGCACTGGAGACCTGAACCACGATACTGTTGGCAAAAGGACTCATACACCCTGAACACAAAACCTGCTCCAGGCCCAAGTTTAGTGCAGTTTATGGTTTAGCATTCGTTGTTGAAGGACTTTTGTTTCGGGAATGAGATTTTGTTTTTGGCCTGGATGGTGTGCATCATTTTGAACAACAGTTGGGCTTCATTCGTATGAACAGTTGCGCCTGGAATACTGTGGTCTGAAATTTCATGCACCCCCAGCCACACCTGCGCCAGACCTTTCCGGGATGGTACATTGGAATTCAAGCCACGCGTTGGTTTCGGATGGTGCCCAATTGATTGAGTTGCTGATCCAAAGTGTTCAGACGCTCCTGCAAAGCCAAAACCCTCAGCCACGAGCCCTTAACATCCCTCAAATCCCTGAAGTCTACCTAAGAGCTGAACCCTCAAACCGTGAACCTTAACACTACAGTTGCTAAACCGTTGCTACGACGAAGTTGGAAGATGGGCTTCGAATCAGGTATGGGTAAAGTAGAAAGTAGAAGAATATTTGAGTATTCCTCAAAGTCTCAAAGATAATCATGAGCCTTTAAATGTTGTCATTAATCCTATTCTTGCCACGGCTTCCACATCAAAGAGGTTCAACATGTTGCCTGTAGGGATCTCTTGCAGAGGGACTTGTGTTCGAGAAGTGCCCTCCTGGAACCTCGACTACACCAGCAAGCCGTAAACCCTAAACCCAGACGTACGCCAGGAGCGACGCCGCCGCGAGGAAAGACGAAAGATTCATGCGACCATTGACATCTTCGGCCCAGAGCCCAGGGCTTGTCGGCTGGGGGCCAGGGGAAGGGACTTGATTAGGAATTTCGCTTGCAGGAAATCAGACACGAATGAGAAACATGGAGTTTGCGCAACAGGCTTGTCTTTTCTCTGGTGTTTGTCTCTTCAGTTCAACGCTCCCACCGTGGAGCCCAGATGCGGCAAGGCTAAAATTTACTTCACCTTTGAAGTTTTCCTTGACATCCCTGATGCTATGGTAGGAACTGTCTCTCCCGCTGGGAAGCCTCACGTTGACACTTTTGGCGTTCATTGGGGTTCTAAAAGATCAGAACCCTTCCCTTCGTGAGGTTACTGTAGGTATCATGTTCAAGTTGAAGGAAACTTACAAGAGAAGAAGCTAAACTGGAGAAAACTGTCTCGTCTCCTTGCCACCGCAAAAGTTGCGACCTGAAGTTTCAAGAGGTCCTACGCGTGTCCCAAATCTAAGCGTTGTGTTGCATCAACCTCTCTGATTATGGCATTACAATGGTAGTTGCTGTCGTCTCATAGTGGATGGGCTGTGCCGTCTGGGCCTGGAGATCTTGAGCGTAAATCCAACTGAGTTTCTCAAGAAGAATCAGCAGTATCACCTCTAAACAACATGTGCCCCTGTTTATGTGACCTATTCGCAGACTGTCAAAAGGCTGGGTTCCAAAAGCCGTTTGTCCTTGTAGGCCGGACGGTCATTGACACGAGTGCGGAGGTGGAGGCTTGTGCTCTTGCTCCGGAGCGGGTCAACACCTCCAAGGATACCAGCTGGGAGGAATTTGAAAAGGAGGTTTCTGCTTTGGAGAATGACCCCTGGGACCAGTACATGTTGAGTTCAGCGTTAGGGCGGCGGTTGTAGATTGCAATGCTTCTATACGTCTACAGCAGCCAAGGCTAAGGTACTACTAGTAAATCGCAGCAGGCTTTTTGTTGGGCACTCATCACCTGCCTCAGGCCGACTTGAAGAAAAAGGATGCTTGGATGGATTAGCCTCGCTTTGTATCAGGCATCCAACCCTGCATGCCTTGGGTCATGCAGCTTCCAGCAGTTCTCTTGGTAGAATTACAGAACGGGACGAGGGGGTTTGTGGCTGAGGTGTCTCGATGAAGCTGACTCTAGCCTGTTGAAGTAGGGCTTCTGCCACTGAGCGTAACATATTTGATTTCTTTGGAGTAAGATCATTCAACACCAATTTTTATCCCTTCGGACTGTGCTACGCGAATATGAACCACCTACCTTCGATGGGTTGACTAGACATCAGGGTTAGGGGTTGACCGCTATCATTGTTGCCAAGGCCTATTGCTCATCCCTGTAGTCCATGTGCATGCCTGCAACGTGCCTTTCTCTGAGGGAGGGACTCGCTGGAGCAAGCCAAGGATCGGGAGGTCTTCCAGAACTGGACAGAGGGCGTGGCCCTGGCTGCCATTCACGGACCGGTGGACTTGAGATACTTATAGTTTGAGATTCCCAGCCTAGAGTTGTTTTGGGGTTAGCATGCTCCATTTTCAAGGCCTGGCTTTTCGGATGCGAGGGATCTGCGACCAAGGCATGGAGGAGTTTGTTGTGGCTCGAGATTCTGCTTGCTGGATTTGGGATGCCTTGGCTTAACGAGCAGTGAGCATCCAAGTCGGCGGTTTTAGAAGGCGAGTCGATCAGCCCAGTCTGGTTCGGAAGTACTTGAGGCAGCATGAAATCCAAAACAATCCCCATAGAATAAGCAATCACAGCTCCAATGGGCTTCCAACTCTGGGAGGACCTGTGCTTTACAAGCTACTGTAGCAAGTACTGCCAAGACTTCTAAAGACACGGCATCTGGTGGCAGTCAACATGTTACCCTGGGAATCCTGACATTTTGGAGTGGTAGCAAATGGTAAAAGACAACAAATGTGCTGGCACGTAGATGTGGGAACTTTCCTGCGGGGCCTTCATTGTAGCAGGCAGGAAGAAGATGAACCCATAATGTCGCAGCCCTTGTGCAGAATTGTGCCTATTCACCTGTTGTGCAACCAAAATTTAACGTCATTCTGCTTTTTCAACTACCGTGTAGGTGAATTATAGAGCCTACCATAGTCCTAAATGGATTATTGAGGCTTAATTCAGGTTTCTAGCTTTCTCGAGTGCACGGCCATGTCAGACCACGAAGAACGAGCGCCTCCTGAAAATGTTGGAGGCACGTGGGCTAGAGTGAGCACTGCTCCTTGTTTGAAAGTTCGAGGACAGCCCATGGCATATTGAGTTCATATCAGCAGTTAGAGCGGCGGTGCTGCTGCCCCTAAACTCTAAGCCTCCAGCCCTAAGCCCGTAATCCTGAACTACCTGAAGCCTAGACCCTGAAGCCGAATCCTGCGTCTTGTGAACTTTGTGTAGCTCTTGCAGATATCTCTTTTCTTGACTAATTGCTGAGCTTTGTCTTTTTGCACTGTTCGTGCTCGCAATTCCAGTGTGCCGGCCTTGCTGGAAGCTTGGGCCCTCATTGCATGGCATTGGCCTGTTGCGGGTAACATCTGAGTTTGGAGGGGAACCCCTCAAAGTTGTGGCTTCCTGATGCAAGCGTTTGGCATCCTTCCCCAGGTGCAGTAATGTGCACGTATCGTGGAAATCCAAACGGCTTTTTATTAAATTGCCAGAAACCCGTACCCTTGTTGATGCGCAGTTCCCTGGCCCAGAAAGTAGACTGCATAGTTGACTGTTCACCGTTCCATCATGGTTCATCAGACGCCGCTTGGACGAGATGGTTTTAGACACATTGTACCTTCCAATGAGTTGGGTCATTTGGTTGCTTTGACTAGTGCTCTTGAGTGAGTGGACCATGATTGGGCCAACTTTTAAGGCAATGGCAGAAGCCGCGTTTAGAATGCAGCAGGTGTGGTTCGAGGTGTTGCTCTGACCGGAAGTATGTCATGTGCCAATTTGCAGACGTATTGCAAGTCATCTGGTGGACCCAAATCAGTGCAACTAAAGTCTCGTGGGTGTGCAGGAGGAGTTCAGCGGCGCTTGTTTGTTTCTGGTTGTGTGGTCTTCATTCAGGAAGATGCTCCGAGATCGTCCATGGAGCCTGAACCTGAAACCCCAAGCCGACGAGAGTTTTCGTCTCCAGGTTACAACAGGTGCGCAAAATGCAAGCTGGTTGACTTGGATATAGCATTGTTCAGCTCCCCGTACTCTTGCAAACTGCTAGCTGCTAGCCTTTTTTGTCGGGCTTGCCTTCTTCAAAGCGTTCGCGCGGATGCTGTCTTCAGTTTTGGAAGGTTTCCAAAATTCACCCACAATTTTGCGATCATCCAGCATCCAAGATTCAACAAGAATTCTCGAGAGGCAGGAATGGTTCGCTGTCTTTTTGGTGTTGGATTTCTCAAGCCATCGGCAAACGGGAGTTAGGGCATGCAGTAAGATATTTCAATTGTTCCCAGCAAACACCTCACATACCTCACTTGAAAGCTTCAACTGCAGCCCGCAAACTCCTACAGGGCATATGGCAACCAGTGCCCCGGCTTTGACTATGACGCGTTCATCAAGAGCCTCGTCCACATGAGGTTTTGTATTTTCACGGCGTTGTCTAGGGTCAGTGTCGTGGAAGGGTATATTATGGTTTCAACGGTGTGGGGTGTTCCACACGCATCTCACTGGAGGCCAAGGCGAACATGTGAATTCTTATGGCTTCCACTGAACCTCCAAATGACAGGTTCCCGGGTTGAGGGTTCCCAGCAGTGCAGGATTTAGGGTGCTAAATTTTCCTGATGTGTCTTCATGGTTCAGGAAGCCCGCAGACTCCTGCCTTCTTCAAAATGCCTCCAGCCCCACATGAGGTGGTCTATGTTCATCCCTAACGATTCCCACTGCCCCAGAAACCGTCAAGTATTTCAACATGCAAGATTTGCAACAAATCCATCAGCTGAACCCCAGACCTCGTAAGGATTCTGACCTTCAACTCCGAGCGCTAAATCCAAGCCTCGGAAGCCGTGATAGACCCTGCAAGTTTGTAAGCAATGACATGAGCCTTTTAGAAGCAATACGAAGGGCGGCAAACGGATCTTCATATCATTTTCTGCATCCCTTGTACAACCCGTTGCGGATTGCAAGCCTCAGGTCCTAATTCCTTTGCTTCAGGAACACCTTCATCCACTTCCCGGCGCCTCCGGAGCCAGAGTTGCTCCAACGGGGACGTACGGCGCCAGCTCAAGTTCACGAGGACAAGGCGCGGGTGGGAGGATGGGAGGGTGGCGGGGGGAAACTTCAAATCTGAGCTTGACCTGAACAGCACATCCAACCTTGGAAGACTTGAACCCGAAGACTTGAACCCAAAACTGGGCAGCTTGAGATAAGCCGTAAAGTCCATCTGCTGGCCTCTGCAGCAGTTTCTGCAATGCCTCCTCCTTAATAACCACAAAGCTCTTAACTCGTTCTCTTCACGTACATTCTGTAGCGTTCCTGATTGTTTTGCCTCTGCAAAAGTAGCAGTCGGAAAATGTTCATAGCACAACTTGAAATCATCGAAATCTCTGTGGTCACCAAAAGCTCTTGAGCGGTGAAGTCTAGTGGCCAGAAGCTCGTGCGCAGGTAAACTAGCAACCTGATGCAAAGTGCTGCCCTTTTCCATTTGCTATGCGCGCATGCCCAAGAGCGAGTGATGAATCTGCAAAGTTCAAAGCTCCTGGGATTTGCTTGTTGCAAGGGATCCTGGCATCGTATTTTTGAGAAGACCGCCTCCAAAGCTTCAGGGGCTTGTCTTTTGTTGTGGCAATTTTTGTGTAGAACTTCTTGCGCCTCCGCCAACCATCAGAGCGGAGTCGCTTGCATTATGAATCCAGAGTCGAGCAATGCGAAGCCACAACCTTGAACCAGAGACCTGACACGGCACTGTTGCCACGCAGGCTTTTGGGAGCCTTTGGGCAAAGGGGGCGGAATAATGGCAGTGGTAAGGGGTGATGACGCTAAATGCATTACAATTCAGGCATATTCAGGCCTCAGTGTACTATCTATGCAATCGTATTCGTGTCAATTGCGTGCATGTTTTGTAGCAAAACTAATGGCGAAGTGCTTCACACCCCGCGCCAGAATTCCTAAATATTAAACCTTCAGCGTTGAACGTGAAACAGGTAGCTGCCGGACTGGAACCCGACTCGGAGCCTGAATCGGAACCTCAGCAGCTCCCGGACTTCACTAAGTTCGATGCGACTCTGCTGGATGAAGAGTTTGAAAGGTGATGGTTTTGGCTAGTCCAGCTTTGTGCTTAAGCCTTAGGGTTTAAGGCTTGGGCTGGCGCTTTGAGGCTCCAAAGGGCTTACAGAATCATGGAGGAAGGGTTCGCCACTGGATTGCTTCACGGACACGGCAGAGACCAGAGAGTTTGGTGTTCATCATAGTCGTCCATATTATGGAAGATCTTGTTGAGATGATGGGTAAATTGGGCTTAAAGCGTGAGTAAAAGGAACATGCGAAAGAAACGAGTCGTCAGGATTACGATCCAATTTGTTACAGAGATGCTAAGAGGCGCAGCCCTATGGGTCTGACGTCTGGTGTTGAGTAGGATGAGACAGCACTAGGGACTTAAAGTCTGGGATTCAATAGAAATGGGTGTCATCGCATGAATCAACTCTAGCCTTCAAAGGGATGATCATGGGTCTGGCCTCACCCTTTTAGTCTGAGGTTTGGAGGAGGTTCTTTTTATTGCTGCCCCATTTGTTGAGGATAGCGCCATCGCATATGTCCGTCCAAGGTCGCCCAGCCTGTCCGCGGGTTTGAGGCATACTTTTCCCAATGCACGTCAACTCGCGACTCCACCCTCGGCTTTTGATGTGGTAGCCCTACAGACAACTCACGGAGTAATTCTTGACTAGCATGGCTCACAGCTTCAGGAAGCATCCGGAAGGGGAGATGAAACCGAAGCAGTAGACGAATGGTATCCTTTAATTCAGGGAGTTTCAAGACATCTCTACAAGAAATACTTGACAAGCTCTATGCTTAACTTATACCTAGTACAACGCTGGACAAAATGCAGCCAGTAGAAGTGAAGTCATCGAAAAAATCCGTCGTCAAACAAAGTGCGAGTCGCTTTGTGTAGCACAACTCTATCAATAGGGACAATGTTATTGATTGCCACTGTTCCCTGTCATCGATTTGCTCATGTTACTGTCGGAAATTCTTTCAGCATCAGTTACTATTCAAACCATGGGAGCTGCTCTGAACACTACATGCAGGTGCCTATTGGTATCTTTTATCTGGAGACTACCCATATGCTGAAAGCATGCTGGACCCCTCGCTTCAGGCCGAGCATGTTCCTCTCCCTGACATGCTTTGCCGTCACAGAGACTGGGATAGATTTGGAAGGTTGTTTTGGATCTTGATGTGCATGACTAACTACCAAATCCTCGTACATGATTTGAATTTGTTTTTTTGTCTGAACCCCAAGGCCTAAACCCTAAACAACTTGAAAAAATCGAATATGAGTTAGGAACACATGATGTCTTCGAGCACTTCGATGGCGAGGGTCTCATGCCGCAGTGGCCCTGCAACTTGGTCAAAAAGGGGCTCTTCGTTAATGGTTGGGGTGGCGGGCTTGCGGGTGTTGGGTCACAACTCGGCTATACATGCCAGGCTCGTTTACATGATTGGACCAAAGGGAATCACGAGCACTCCTGCTGGGACGAAGCTTCGTTCGTTTTCCCCAGCCGTCAGTCTGGGAAGTGCGATCTCGGAGCTAGATGTAGAAGGAAAACGAGTTTTGGGGCAGTCTGGATCATGCTGCTGGGTGCAATTGGGGCCAGTGATGCACTTGCCGGGCCTAAATGCGCTCTCTTGGGGCCTACTGTCGGAGAAAGATAGCACTGAGCACAGAGCTTTCTGTTTCTGTTGCTGGCTCTGAAGTAAGCTTTACCTTAGTTTCCGCTGTGCTTCAACCATGGACCATCAGTGCAGGTTACCAGGTCGAAAGCATGCCAGTCCCAGAGCAGATGGAGAATATGCAGTACAATGCCTATGGCCAAGGCGGCTTTGGAAAAGATGGGTTTCCAGGTTTTACGAGGATTGCAAAAGGATTCGGCAAGGGTGATGCAGGTATAGTGCAAGTTTGGGCCTGGCTTGATCTGGAGGCCCCATGTAGGGTACCTTGTGTGAAGCCCCATGAGCTAAGCCCTACGGAAGCCCTGCCCTCGAGGGAACACGAACGAGATGGAGTTCGTGCCGGCCTGGGATGGACAGATTGGAGTCCCCTCAGGGGGCGAGGCGACCAGTTTATCTCAAACTGATGTTCAGGGTGTAGGGTTCATGGGTTAGCGTTTAGTGACGAAGGTTAGGGGTTTCCGTTTAAAGAAATTGGGTCGGGTGTCGGGGTCAGTGTCTTGGGACCAAGCGGTATAGTTGAGAGTCGAGAGATACACATTCAGGCACCTGCCTACATAGCCCGATAGTACCAACATACTACAATTCCTGTAGGATTCCAGTACAGCAGTAATGCAGCCATAAGTTTGACAGAAGCGTTCCTCTAACACGTAGGGCGTAGGGACATCCCGAGGTGATGCATCCAGCACCTGGTACAGCGGTGTTCGTGAGCGCCTCAGACGCTTCTACCATTCTCAGGAGCTCCTTATGATGATTCCGAGTACTATTGCTATCACCACCACCTCTCTGTGTGCGAACCTTTCTCATCGTCAAGACGACTGTTGCAGCTTGACAGCTGTCATGATGTTTCTCAACTGCTACTGTTCTGAAAGCGAACACTTTGTAGTGCTGTGATTCCTATGCCCATGATTACCACTAACACTGCTTCTGCACTGCTTCTGAAAGCGGCTCTTCTGAAAGCTTTGCAGAATCAGGTCTTGCACCCTCCTCCGTGTGTGGCTCCAGACGGTGGCTTCAATGGCACACAGCCTTTTGGTGTGAGAAGTGGCAGAAGTTTTTCTCTTAAAATCTTGAGTCTTGTGCCGGTTCGCGATTTTTTTCGTTTTTGGGCTTAGTTTCAGCTTAGTCCTCATTAGTGAGCCAGACGCGTGAGACCTTTTTGTCCACTCTGGTATCCCAGGCCCTACCTGATGCCCGTGCACTTCAGTCCGATGAACTCCATAAGCCCGGAGAGTCATGATTGGCAATCTCCACCGAAGCTAGGTTCCCATTTGGATCCATTTGGGTGCTATGCACCGCTGCGTAATGGACCCCCCGTCCCTTAACGGGGATTTCATTGGTTCCGTGTCTTTCAACAGTAGACAGAGATTTATCAGTCAGGGCCCCCCTTGTTGTGTCGTGTTTGCACATATTGGCATTTCTGCGATTTTGGCCGTGTTCTTCATACCATTTGATGCAAGATACTGAAATTTAGATCTGCTTGCTAGCTGGAGCAATGGATCTTGGCCGCACTCTACAGTCGAGAGTCGAAACGCTTGATCTGACGAGTAAGAACCCGAGGCCCCAAAATGTGAGACCTTTTGGGGAGTGATTGGGAATCCTCAAATCTAGATCTCTGGACGCCCAACTCCTGAAACCCAACGTCTGCCAACTCCTGCAACCCAACGTCTGTAGACTCCTTGCAAGGGTCTTTTCATTCTCTGCACGGGTGATTCTGGCTTGGAAGTCTCGTAAGCATTGCAGCCTGTGGGCTTTGCAGTTCAAAGTTCTGGAAATGTAGATGTGGAACAGACTTGACAGATTCAATCAATGCCATCCATTTGTAGCTCCTCTGGTGTTGCGCGGCAAACTCCAAAAAGGCGTTTATTTTTTGACAACGTCAACATCACCATCAGCTGTATCTTCCCTGTGTTCCCAAGATGTTGATTTGTTGTGCTGAGCATCTCAAGACCCAGGAATTGGTCTGGAGAAGATCCACAGCCCGAGCTCCAGTTCATGCCGCCGGTTGTGCCCGTGCACCTGGGAATTTGGGGGGCTACACGCATGTCAAAGGTATTTTTGAGAGGACTTACTCACAGGGAGCGCAGGGTTAGAGGCTGGTGCGTGAACCGGGCAATCTAGGCCTCAGTGGGCATGTTTTTTTTATTACAAAAAATTGTGTTTTCAGTTACTGTTTCATCTGTTTTCCTGAACGGGCATCGTTGTGGGGCGTACATTGCGGTTTTTGGGGTTGGGTTCATTACGCAGGAAGTTTGCAGAGTATAGGCGTTGTTTAGGCTTGTCGAATTAAGGGGTATTTGAGCTTTGGAGCTTATAGCGTAATGACTACAATTTGGGGATTTGCGTTGAGGTCTAGTTCTTATGTTTCAGGATCGTAGTTACGTGCTTAGGGTTCCGGGATCCAGGCAAGATACACAAAGGCCAAGGATGCGCCTGAGAACTGTGGAGAATCTGGTCGTAGGCTTGGAAGCATTGTGCGTGGGGTGGGGCAGGTTGCAGACTAATTACATGTGACAGTGTGCTTCAAATTGAGTGCCGGAGAATGGGGTTCAACAAGAAGACATGTTTCCGAGCAGGTTTAATTTTTGTGTCCCTATGTGGTTGAGTTTTTAAGGTGCTCGTAGGTTTTAGCTCTCCGCAGCGCGCGCTGCCGGATGAGAACAACTGCAAAACGCCAAACTTTTTTCAAGTTGTGTCGGTTGACTGTTATATGTGGGGAGTGCCAGTTTCCCTTGAGCAGCCTCAACCGCAACCAAGGCACAGCTTTTTTCCAGGGGCAGGCTGGACTTTTGAAACCAGTGTCAGTAAGGTTTAGGGGGTCTGCGTCGTACTTGAGTTGTGCCATAACGTGGCATCTCATTGTTCGCATGTTCGGGGTCCTCAAAATGCCCTCAGCCCTTTGTTTCGGCCATTTCGCTGGTATGGTGCTCTGCACAAATCCTGGCAACAGCTCAAACACTCCCTGCATCCATGCCCATAGGTATACACCATATGATGTGACGATTGATTGATGCCCGGCTGAAGAAGGATTGTTTACCGGAGAGATGCCTGTCAGGTGAGCAGGAGGCCGACCAACAGATCCTCACATTCCGTAGCTCGGTTGAGGTTTGGGTGATTGAGTAGCTTCCAAAAGGCAGGGGATCCGATCTTGATGGTCTTCATTGAGGACCGCTGCTATGAAGTCTGTGGGGGGTCTGTTTTCGAGTTGGGCACCGAGTGTCGCGAGCATCAATTCGGCTTCATTGCTGTCTTTTCCGATTGTTTTGGGTGCGAGATGGATTTGGACTTAAGTCCTGATGTGATGTTTGAGAACGCTGTCCTCAAGACCTTCGCTCTCGTCTTGTTCCTCCTTTCTCCTGCTTCACGTGACCTGTCTCTGTAGTTGCTGGATTTGACACCAGTCTAGCCTTTAGGCTTTGCAGAGGAGCTGTCATCCCCAAAGCCCTATGCCCCATGTCAACTAGGCGCCCTTTCCACTTGGAATGGTCCCCAGATCACACACCAAAACCCCTGCATCCTGAACCTATCTGAACCTGTTCTCCACAGGCCAACCTTGCAAACGATGTATAAACCCTGGCATGCTGAAAGATCCTGTTCTCTCCTCCAATCAGAAAATTAGGTCCGAAACCTAAACTCGGAGTCTCAAACCCTAAGCCTCAGATGCCAAATCCGGAACCTTACCCGAAATCCTGAACCCGATGCCCTGAAACCTAGACGTTTCCCAGGCAAGGAAGACTTGCTCCCGGAGCGTGAGGAGCATCCCCAACGTTCTCTGTCTGAGCACGACAGGTTCCCCGGAACGCTGACTGGCGGAGGGTCTACAGAGGTTTGGGCTTGTTGGTTTGTGGAGGCTTTCGGGTCTAGCCTAGCCAACACACGGTTTGCGGGTGCTAGCATTCAGGAATCCATGTGTTGGACAGAATCGCCCTAGAGCCTCGAATCCCCGGCCACAGGTTCTGGGATGGACTCGGGGTGGAGCTGCTGCATCAGCCTCAGAAAATTGGCGGCTTGGCAGAGCTTTCGGACAACTTAGCACGATTCAGGGTCCCAGTTTTGGGTTCAGGGCTTCGAGCTTGGGCTTAAGAACATCTACAGGGTTTTATGGGGTTAAGGGGTGAAGGGTGCTAGCTACATTAAACTAACACTGGAACTCAACATGGCTACAAAGAGGACTTCTTTTGAATATGTGGGGTTTGATGTTTGGATTGCATAACTCCCTGGTAACCATGAGCATGGGCGTGAAATCAGAAATAGGTCTGATAACGCAAGCAGTGGTGGTCATAGGCCCGATGGTTGAAGCAGCAGCAAGCATAGCCGGCATGGTGCCATGATTCCAAGCGCTGCGCAGGCAGGTCTCAGAACATGGATCACGTTTATTGGGTGGTGGATTCCAACAAGCTGAACGACAAGGCCGCCGACCTCCAAACCGGTCCGTTGTAGGGTTTAGGGCCAAGAGCTAGCTCATTCGGGCGATATGCTATTGGCAGAACTTCGAGGTGTCCAAGGAATGATTCTGCAGGTTCTCTATTCTAAATTGAGCATTGAGGGCGTAGGTGAGTCGGGGGTGGTGCTAAGTGCCTCAGTAGCCTCCAACAGCTTTTGCCATTGTTCAGAACTGCGGACCCACCCGCTCCTACACCACAGGGCCATCTGCATCGCAGCAGGAAAGGTGCATGATAAGGCGCTTCTCGTTTGATATCACATGTGTCTAAACTTATGTTCGCAACAGTGAATCTTAGGCCTACACCTTTCAAGCTTCCCCAAGATTCTGCAAAACTTCTTTAGAGATTGGTTTCATTTTCTATCTGTGCCAACAGTACCTGAGGGCACGAGATTTTTGTCAGAATCCTGCCTAGCATCTTCAAAACCTCGACCCCGAACTCCAAAACCCTGAGCCCACTTAGCCCCAAGCTCCCAGCCCTATATCCTGTCAAAGCCCCTACTGGCAAATCTTGTTTACAACAGAGCATACGCCGTCAAATCCCCATTGAGTTCCTCAATGCTGCTCAAGTTGAGATTATTGCGAAGTCGTCAATGCCCCCAGGGAGGGTGTTAATCATCCAGTAATGCTAGGTGCCACGTACAAACTTCATATTCTCCATCAGGGTGGCAGGGGAGGCAATGTCCTAACTGGATAGAACACATGTCCAATTAGCACTTTCCTGACCTTGACCGCATCAAAAGTACGCACTTACTGGCAGAAAGCTGCGAGGGCCTTCTGTTCCTAGACACCAAAGCGTGATGGATGACTCGCACGCATGGCCTTCTAAGACTCCAACCGTACAGTGCAAGCCTCAAAACCCAGCCGCAGCCAGGCCAAAGTTTTGGTCTCGCCAGAGTTCAAGGCGGGGTTGTCAGGACCTGTTGGTGCTGAGCAGGGCATGAGGGATGGATGATGGGGATAAGTTCGTCAGACCCACTGTGTCCCCCTACTATCCCAACATAACACAGTCAGCATTCATGGGAACCCTCTACGGGGATAGAATGCTCAAGAAGGTCCTCTGCTGACGCCGACTGGTTTTATTGTTACGAAAAATCGGTGAGTCTGGGATTACGTGGTGCGCACCTGGAACACCTGTCGCGCAGCCCTGAACTCTACACCCTCGCACAGGCTGCAAGCCCTAAATCCCAAAAAACAGCGTGAGGCAGGCACGGAGTTGGTGTTATTCGTAATCTGCAGGCCATGGAGGATCTCCAGTATAACATGTGTAAAATCTGTGCAAGATACAGGCTCCAAAAACCATTTTTGCTCTGCGTGGGCTTCAACAATGTGGAGCGCAAATAAATCCCTCCATAGAGAGCTGAATCCCAAGCCGTAAAGCCGTAAGCTCCCATTTGCTTTGGCCTTTGCCCAAGGTGACGGCCTCGGGCGACCAGTTGAGCTTCAAGATGGTTATGTATCCCAAAGACCGAAAGCTGGCCAACATAAGAACCAAACAACCTGACATGATACTGGGGCTTCTTTTCCTCTTCAAATTTACATTCAGATAAGTCAGGCAGTCCATAGCAGCTTGAACAGACTTTCATCACGGCCACGGAGCATACTTATGATTCTGTAGAACTCATCATCGAATTCTTATCCCTGACCTCACAAAGTATCCCTTTCCACAAGAGCCCTTTGCTTCTCCAAGCTTGCTACTGGGGGCTTATATTGTCCCTTAGTGAGTCAGATGGGATCTTGACTAATGGGTGAAAACTGCTCACAACATAAATTTGGGATTCAGCGTTTCACTTATAATGTAGTTTTTTTTTTTTGGAAATGAAGCATTCTTGAGCCTCAAGCCTGACAACCCGAGATTGGGATTTACTGGATAGGGCCTCTAGGTTTAGGAGTCACGGCTAGGGGCTGTGGATCTGGGGTTTCGACTTTCGAGCATGTGGGCCTGAGACTTGAGCTTTTTTATAACGTACGGAAGAGGCCCACCAGGAAAGGCCCAAAAGAGGTCAGAAGCTCAGAAAAGCGTCCAGGAGCCTAGAAAGAGGCCCCAGGCCCAGAAAAGGCCGGGAAGCAGAAAAGGCTGGGTTTGGAAGAGTCCCCAAGCCCAGAGAAGGCTGGGAAGAGGCCCAGAAGCCCAGAAAAGGCCCGAAGAGGCCCCAGAAGCCCTTGTTTGCAGCAATTTTTTCAGACAGGCAGGCTTGCAAATCCAAAAACAAAAACACCGCCAATTTCGCACAAAACTCCGGACATGAACACTATACAATTTCTATAAACCCTAAACCCTAAACCCTAAACCCTATTATGAGGGTTTAAGCTTTTAGGGCTTTCGCGTTTCTGGGTTTAGGGGTTTCGGGTGTGCGCCTCAGGTTTTTCCTCCTACAGTCCTACAGTGGAATTCTTTAGAGGGATTTTCGCAGGAGGCCATCTATCTCCACGTGCCTCCTGTGGCAACTGTAATGACCAAGGATCTGGGTGGTTTTGTAAATCAATATCAAACAGATCCCTCTTTCTTGGGTTATACTGCTCCTGACTTGGGGAACAGTACTGTAGGCAAACTCCCGCGTGAGGGAGTACAGACTTGACGGGAACAGAACCCAGCCCCCCATAACCCCTTGAGCAATCTCGCAGCGACCTAGAATTGGAAGTAATTTCTATCCATGCTTAGATCGTTCTGATCATAGTTCCTAGCCTGCAGTCCCAATAATCGCGACACGACTCGGTTGCATGCTTCTCAAGCCGCTAATTGATAAAGTCCACGTCCCAAACCTCAAGCCTTTTGGTCAAAAAACCCGTGCCGATAATCTCTGACCCATGAACCCTTAGCTCTGCATAGCTTTGTATACATGGAGCAGCCCAGGAACATCATTCCGCCAGGCCGAAGGGCAAGGATTTGTACAGCTTCTTGGCTAGCTCCCGGTCAATTTCCTGATATGAGGTTTTCTCGCAAGTTCAAAGGGGCCCCTTTAAAAACGGTTCTAGGATTCTGTTAGAAGGGTATCGAGCGTTCATGGCATCTGGAATTTTGTGCTCATAGGTCAATGGTGACTGGGAGGGGATATGCTAGTAGTTGCAAAGCAGGTTTGCAGGGTCTGAGAAGGTCTGTTGGGAAGCGAGGGCAGGACGGAAAATGCCTTCCGGGTTTCATGATGTTTCATGCAGCGGGCGTTCACAAAGCAACCCGCGTGCTTGCTGTGGTTATTCTGTTTCGTTTGTTGGCATTTGCGATTCCTGTTCTCTGCATGAAGCCTGCCAGTTGCAAGGTATCGGTCCCGCCAACCGAATACGAAGCAATCCTTAAAAGGTTGGCTAAAGGGAGCTGGCTTCAAAAAGCTGAAGCTCTCCAGCGCAAAAGGTTGAAATGCGAGAGCGACACCCAAGACTTCGACGAGTGCTCGCTTTCCTTTCGTCTTGCCATTTGCAACGGCCGCGCCCGGGCTTAGGTTCATCGTTCATGGGGTTGTTTGTGTTCGGTGGCTCTAGGTGTTAAGGGGGTTGGGCGTCAGGGGCTTGATGTGATTCGACGGGCCCGGGGGTTTCATGTCTATGTTGGCTTTTCTTGTATTGTTCAGGGCTCCAGGTTTAAGATGTGAACAATAGCGATGATAGAAATTAGGACAGTCTCCTCTGTCCTCACCACAGGACTAGCCATGCTTGCAAATGGCCTAGGCTTTCAAGCTCCAAGCGTGTGCACGCAAATATCCATGGATCCTATTTGAACCCTAGAACTTGTCCCTAATGATATGCACTCAACCCTAGACTCTAATTACAACCGCACTAGCAGGGAGGATCTTTGCTTTGTTGTACTTGTCCTCTATAGGTTTACCCCGCAAAGTGTTTCCGAGAACATACCCCAGAACTTGAAGCCTCTAGGCTCGGGTGAAAAAGCCAAACGGAATGGTCCTGGAAACCCGGTGACGTGGACCTGATTATAGACACGACGGTCTTGAAAACACGGGCCGGAGGAAGGTTCTGAGTTGGGAGCTCCCAGGTGAGGACAATTCGAAATTTGGAGGCTTTGTGTTTAGATTGATTGCGGTGTTTGAGGTTTCGAGTGTAGGGGCTTGAGATACTGTTCTGGCTGCAGTGTAGGGCTTATGCTTGCAGTTTGTCTTTTGATGTTTCAAGAGGAGTCATACATGCACAATATATATATATATATACATATATATATATATGTATGTATGTAGATTTTGGTCTGACAATGTGGGTGGTTTTCGCTCGTTTCGTACATGGGTCAAACAACGCAAGCCTGGAGCGTCAGCTTTTGATTCCAACACGCTTGAACTCATAATCCCTTCACGGCATGATTGGGTTCTGGATGACAGCCCTACCCTGACACATGCCTGACAATCCTCGTGTAACCGTTCATCAAGAAGAGGAGTGGTTGAATGTACAGTCCCAAGCGCTCGTCCCCCTTCGCAATGTTCCTACTCCATGATTGTGACCAAGCTCTTATATTTGCACAACACCCAGGTCACCTGGGACTTCAAGAGGAGCTTGGTCTGCGATGACGATGAGGCACCACTTGGCGAAGTTCAGGGCCTCAGGCAAATCATTGTGTTCTTATCCCGTTCCATTGTAGCATTTGAGTAGAGACTCTGCACAACAGTGACGCTTACTTGAAGGTTGCCTTGCAGTTCTTTCTCTGCTTGGGAGCTCGTGTACTCCCCGATTTCTAGCCTACGGATAATCAGGGTACCAATTCTAGGGTTGGGCTCGTGCGCAGATTGCTCCCTTGTGTGCTGACATTGTTGTGGCTCTTACAGACAAGAAGTTTCGACTCAGTAGCAACAACACCTTGAAGAACAAGAGGCAGCTTGCCCGAATTCGGAACTAGACAGGATGAGACTCGACTCAGTAGGACGCTAGGACACCCAAGCTCCGGCTTTTTCAGGTTTCCAAGAAGCCCTGAGCCATCAAAGATTCAGTATGATGGACAGCCTTCCGCATAACCCTGAATATCTGAAGCCTAAATCATTGTAGTAAAGCATATCCAGGTTCATGCAGCATTTCGTCTAGCATTAGCCTTCCGCGGCGCAGATATAGGTGAAGAAGACTTGGAACTTCAAGGATGTCGTCGACGACAAGACTAGGACTTTTGCAGTCGCCTGGTTGCAAGAATTCCAGGATCCTTGTGGCACCATGTTGTTCTCCCTTGGTATGCTCCAAAATTGTCAGCAATCACGGGGATGATCCCTTCAGGGTCGCGATCCTTGTAACTGTCGCGGTTGTTGGCACCTCAAAGCCATTTCAAAATACCAACAGGCACAGGGATCGAGGTGATCCTCATCGCGATCCTCGCAATGGTCTGCTTGTATAGTTCCTAGGGAAAAGCCTGGAGGCAGCACTTCATTGTTGTTCTGGCTATGCGGGCTTCTCGAAAAGCTGGCCAGTCGTCATACCTGGGATTATGCTATTTGTTTGGTAAAGATGGGAATCCATCTTGGCGTGGTGCCATCCCAATGATGAGAATTTTGCAAGAACTGCTGCTTTTAGCGATATCCCCTGCAATGATCGATATGGTTGTTGTTTTTCTTGCTTTCCCAACACTGTAACATTCTTGCGAACATGCAGCCCCAAACCATGTACCCGAAATGTCAAGACAAGGAACCTTAGATCCAATCCAAACCTAAAGCCTCGAAACGCTCAAATAGTCAGGTACCCTGTTTTGAGAAACCTACGGCGCACGGTCGCTCGCGTCAGGTTTGCATCGAGATTCTCTCGGCTGTGGCCACGAAGCCCTGAGGCTTCAGACCACAGGCAGGCTCTTTTAGTTTGGGCTTTGAGGTTTAGGCGTAATATGTAGGCGCTTGGAAAATATGGAAGTCTCAACAGCATTTTGGACTTGGGTGCGGTCCAGTCCTGGATTTTGGCTTTCTATCAAGCTATATCTCGAATCAAACATCATTGATCATGTTGCAAGCCCCTATATCGGGCATGTGGGCTGGAGAGTTCGAGTGTTCTGGCTTCAGATGTGGAACTTTTTTGTTTTCTGCATTTTTGTTGAGGGCTTTTTTTTTGGTGTTAGAAGCTCATGGGCAATCATGGGCTTTCAGTTTAATATGGAGGTTCCGCTGCTTCGGGTTTCAGGCTCTGAGGAAGTGTGCTAGGAGATCCTCTTTTGAAAGTTTCTGCAAAGTCTCTGTGAACGTGCCATCGAGGGGAATGCCCCCTGCGCTCAGAACCCGTTCCCTGTTTTATCATGACATGCCCCCGGACCTTAAACCAGGAGCCCCAACAACGCAAGCCACGCGTTTCCTCCCCAGATCCTGCAGACCTCAATGCTTCAGTGATCAGATTGCCAAGATCCTGATGGCTTCAAAGATGCTTGCAGAATCAATCTTGTAAACTCGCACACTTGGTGCCACAGGTCTCTCACCCCGCGGATGCAGCCCAGACCTTCAAAAAGTAATCTCCGCACTCGAAACGCTATTTTGCTAAATCCCATCTTGGCTGGGGTGACCCTTCATCTTGATCACTTCATGTGCGAATAAATCGTCACCCTGCAGTATTGCTGCGCAATCCGCGTAAATTCCTCTGCAATAGAGAAAAACCACCACGAAAAGATAGGAAGTTCGTGCAAAGAAATATTCGAAGTAGCCATTGCAGTTGCAGAACCTTTCCTGATTGTCTTGGCTGTCACCCTAAGCTCAAGAGGATCTTCAAGAGTGAATTCTTACGTAACCCTGCAAGCCCTAAGCGCCACAAAGCCACACACCACCCCAGCTCACAGTTTTCTCCAAAACGAGTTTGCAGGTGGATGCATGGTTTTTGCGCCGCAGAGTCACCGAGTTGCGGTCCGAAGGCTTGCAGCCTGCGGCTGCTCGGCTACGTGGCTGCGGCGAAGGGAATGCTTGATAAGAATTGGAGTTCAGGATTTCAGGGGTTTAGGGGTTTATGGGTGAAGGGTTAAGGTGTTGAGAATGACCGGCCGTTAAAGTCTAGGACATTTATTTGCTGTTTTGAAGGGGGTTGCGCGGATTCCTTTGGCAAGGGCGATCATTTCTGTGGTCAGGGTTTTGTTTGTCTTTGCTTGCAGGTTAGCTGCATGCTTTGGATTCTACAGGTTTTGCAAGCAAACCTGTTATGATCTAGTCTTTTGCTCGAGAATCGGTGGCTCTTCATTGCTTTTCATAGGCTGGAATCCCGAAGGAGCGAGAACGATGAAGATGTCATTTGCAGCTCCAGATGTTTTCCAACTTCGCGGTGCTCGCCGCACGGAAAATCGTTGCTAATGTGTGAGGGTTGCTTTTGCTAGGATCTTTTTTCCTTCGCCTTTTGCCATTTAAGCGTTTGAGACCTAAACCCTGAACCCGGGAAAAAAAGAAAAAACCAACAACAAACTCCAATCTCCAAGTCCTAAACAACATAACGACTTCGCTTTGATCAGGACTCTGCAAAGCCTCGCTTTCAATGCACAGCCCAGAGTCGTGAGTTGACCTTGGAAACCCTTGTAAAGCTGCGAAGGTCCAGGGGGGCATGGAATTTGTGCCCTGCTTTGAGGGACCAGGGTTAGACTTGGCTAGAGTTGCAGAGCCCGCGTATCGTGGGCTCAGTCTGGATTACTTGGTGTGAGGTTTGCAAACGCTAGGTTGGCCGATCCCAAGGTCCCTTGAAGTGAGCCTTGTGTAGTTGGGACTTCGAGCGCAATCTTCTGTAGATCCATCTTTCCGGAGCTCTCTTACTGAATGGCACTCCGGCGCAATGTCTGGAAGAGAACATTTGCATCCCGCCGATTGTGTTGCTCCATTGATGGAAGACACCCGAAGTGGACAGACCAGCCAGTGACTGGTCTTCTAGGTGCATTGTTATCTGAGACGTATTTCATTTCTTTTCGGGTCATGCAGGATCATTCCTCAACCTAAGTCTGTGGCTTGCTGTCAAAGCCCCGAGTCGACAAGACCAGGGCCATGGAGCGGGTTGCTCGGACATTCAGTTGAGACTCCAAAAGCATGTGAGCCAATTTCCAAACTCCTCGAGGAGGCATAGTTGTATAGTTTCCGTGGTTCTATGGGCCCACCATTGGAGGGACTTGTCAGGGCTCATGGGAAAGGAGATTTGGCTATGGCTCGTTAGTTCAAAGCTCAAGACTGGTTTCAAAACAAATTCGTAGCACCCTGTCCAGTACCGGTGGCACTGCCCTGCTGCTGCCACATTCGACTCGAAAAAGCATTAGTCCGAGAAACTCTGGAACTTCCACTTGATTCAGTATGGCTCAGGTACATCCATTTAAGCACAACAGGAGTCCCAAGTACATGTTCCATGAGTTATATTGAGAGTCCTTTTATCATTCAAGAATTTCTGCTTGGAGCTTCGAACCGTGGCTGCAATTGGTTGGATCTAGAAGTCAGCCTCTGAAAGGTGATTGTCTCTTCGAGTCTGGTAAAGGCACAGCAACAATCACGACCACCTACTCCATCGCGGCCGCCACCACCGTCTTGAGCCCTGGGACCCAAATCCCAAATTCGACATTCTGTTCAGGAGCAGCGTGGCATAGGTGGTGCGAACGTGCAGATGTCTGACGAGTCGCAGAAGCTGTACGAAAGGCGCCAGCTTTACCTGTGGGGCTGTGCTGGGCTTGATCTGAGGTTTCCCCAGCAGACAAAAATCTGCTGTTTGTTGCAGTTTGTAGCGCAGTACCTTGGGGTGTGCAGGGACTGCGAGATGCAGTGTCAAGCTGACTTATTCTAAAGCCCTGCTGTGCAACCCGTGCCTGCTCAGACATCTGTGGTTTCGTGCTGATCTTTGCAAGGCTTCGTGCAGCCCTGCACGCCACTGGCAAGGCCGGATCTTTCTCGTATAATTTCCCATAACAGGAAGGATTGGAATCACCAATACCGAGCACACTAATCCCAATGATGTTTGAATCAGTGCTGCTTATGGAAATGGTGATCCTAAGCTGAGGCCTTCCTGACATCTTGCAGCCTCTAGTCGGTGCCTAGCATGCCTGGTTGAGCACCCTTGGCTTTGCCTTACTTGAGATGTCCCACGAAGCCCCTCGCGGTATGTCCCGATTGGTTGGTAGAAGCTTGACTTCCTAAATGCAGAGCCCTCCTGTTCTGCTCTTACCATGGTTGTTACAAACAACCAGGACAAGGCCAGGGGACCTGAACTGAGCCCCTTGAGAATACAGGCCTTAGACTGGCAAACCCCAAGCTGTGTGCATTGGAGTTAAATGCTGACGGAGGACAAGAGTTTGGATGGTCTCAAAGCAACTAGAGCTGCTGATGGAGGCATGGCTACAGGGTTCTGACAGGTTATTGAGTTACCATGAGGCTGTTTGCGCCCAGCAGCCTCCCAACATCGGTATTGCAAGTAAGGTGAATGTTCGACAGCACCCGTTGTGGACGAGGTTCTCAAAGTGCTTCTTGTACCATCCTCAAGAGGAGGCTTGTCATTACCCTTTCATGCCCTCAGAACCCCTGTTTGCAAGTTCCTCAACAACCCAAATTTTGGTCTCGCAGGCCCCGGATGAATACATGATCGGGAATATTAAAGTAGGCATCTGCATATATGGGTCCTTGTAGAACTGGGGTTCACACAACAGGCTTGCTTTACCCTCTCGCAGTATATCACCTTCTTCAATCCGCATGTTCAATTCACGTTGTGGTTTCCTCAATATCACAAGTCCATTAGCAAGAGCCGCCTTTTCCTGCCAAGTGGCATCACAACAAGGTTCTTCTGAGCATGAGACTAGGGCCTACCACGATTTCGTTGGTGCACTGGCCGGGAGCCATCAATCTTGGGACTGGCTTAAAGCCTCAATTCTAACCCTAGAACGTACACCCGCTGGGGGTTTCTAAAGAGTTACGCTTGAGGGCTTATGTAGCAAGGACCTGTCACGTCTTGGTAGCCGCTGGTGAATTGTCCCGCTTGATAATGACAAACAGGGTCTTGTTGCGCAAGGTCTGCAACGCAGGACAGAGTCCTTGTATAGGAAAGAGATTTCCGAATCCTGAGAGCTGTCCGAAAACTCGTAACATCGTTCCCCAAGGCTGAACAGTTGTCATTGTTGTATTTGTAGCGCATAGGATGCGTTTAAGATATTTCAAGCTGCCAGGGATGAGGGTTTCAGGGTGAGGAATGAAGAAGAGTGCTGTGGCAGGGGCTGACCAAAGGAAAACTCGAAGCTGGAACGTTAGTGGCGGCAATCGCGTCGAGGCACTGGGCAAAGCTGTATGTCTGAATTTATGGATCACCTTTTCTGGCTTTACAATCTGGTGATTATCACGAAAGCTAGCCTGCGGGTGCGGGAGGGACCTCCCTGGTGTGTGATCAAATATCCGGCTTGTTTTTTCAGTCCGACAGCAGGGCAGGGATGGTTTCGGGCGTCAGGGGGGAGAGGTGGTCATTTTCCGACCCTTCAAGAACACGTAAAGAACGCCCTATCCGACCCTTAATTTTTACGGAGAACAAGGGTGTGAAAGAACACGTCACAAGTGCATCCCCGCCAAAAGAGTACATGGTCAACCGGGCCTTCGTTCAAGCCTCGTTTGTCTTTCAACATACGTACATACTGTATCTTCTAGAGTATAGCAGACAACTGGCAAGCACTAGATGGGTGAGTGTAGTTAAAGTCATATGCAAATATTGCATACACCTGCATTCACGATGCGTGCTATTTCAGTGCCACACATTTTGGTGTCAATGACAAACGTATCTCCTGTAGCCTTGCTCATTCCCAGCAGTTAAAAAAGGAGAGAATGCGCATCTGCATCTTGCCAGTTATATAGATCATGCTCTAG